CAGGGGGTTGTGCTCAGAACAGCTCCCTGCTTCTCCTGGGCCTCTCCCAAATCAGAGCGGCTTCTGGCATCCCTCCCACCACCACCTCTTGATCTGGGCCTGCCTTAAGCTGCAGCCTGGCTTTCCATCTGCTTCCTTCACCTCCTGCTGTTCGTGTCCTTTCCAGCCTTGCTCCTGCTCGTCTGGCACGTGGCCATGCCACCTTGCCAGCCACCTCTTGCCGAGATGGCTCGGGAAAGGCTTCCCGCCTCGGGAGGCACCCGAGTGCCCTAGGACTGGAGGAAGAGGCAGCGCTCCACGGGTTTCAGAAGGAGCTTTGCAGCTACCCCGAGGTTGCTGAGCTCCCTGCGCAGGCTGGACTGGGATGTGTGGACACTGGAGCATTCCTGCAGGCAGGAGAACGCAAAGGGGATGGTGTCAGACATACCTAGTCCAACCAGGCTTGCAAACACTGCATGGGAGAGCCCCCGAGAACACACAGAGCATGTGTGTGTTCCTCTCAGTAATCCAGGTGAGGCTGTGTCCCCTTTAGGGGTAATCTTGCCCATTTTGTCTGTGCTTGGAGCTGGATGCGCGAGCGAGCACCGGGAGGAGGCTTCATCCCGTCTGTGTGAGGATGGAGCTTGCTGCCTAGAGCAGCAAGAAGAGGCAAACAAGGCGGGTGTTGAGCAGATGCATTAAAACAAGAGCAGGTTTCCCCCGTTAACAAAATCTGGAGCCTGCAAGTTGGGCTCTGGCTGTCCCAGACTGTGGATTCGCACAGTGCTGAAATCAGCTCTTGGCCAAGCTTGCACAGCAGATGTCTGGGCCTGCTTGGTCATATTCAGAGCCCACCAAATTCAAAATTGCAGTCTGAGTTGCTTCGGTGTTACACACCATGTACCGAACTGCGAGGCAAGGATGCCTGCGGCTTGAAATGGAGCTTTACAGTTCATGGCTGCTGACTGAATTATTAAAATACAGTCCTCGGAGAGAAGATAACTTGCCTTAGAAAATGTCTGTGTCAACAAAGATAAATTGGATCTTTATGATGATGAAACTAGACTAAATAGAGAAGAATGAGTAAAATGACAAGTGGTTATAGAGAGATGGAAGGGATCTCTGCTGAGCGATGGGTGGCAGGGGTTGCCTCCTATGTGTGTGACTGTCCCCAGTGTCACTGAATGCCATGTAAAACCAGGCTTTGTCCGGCTCCTGAGACCCACAGATGAGAGAACAGTATGGTAAATAAGACAGGGTGAAGCCACTGGGTTCTTGAGCAGGGATGAGCGTGTGTGATGCCTTCCCCTGAGGCTGAGATTCCTCACTGGACAGAAGTGATTTCCCAGCCTGGAGCCTGAGCTCGGACTAACACTGGGTCGAAGTGCTGGGACTTGGTGGCCTCGAGCCTGCGAGAGCCGAGCAGGCTGGGAGAGGGACCCGCCTTGTGCGGCAGCGGTGCCAGCGCTGCCCCCCTGCCCGGCTGTTTGCCGCATCTCGGGGGCGCTCTGCAGAGGGTTTGCTACCCGTGTTGCATGAACGGCCCGTGGGGGGCCCCTGGCTGCAGAAACCCCTCGCTGCTTGCTTGCCATCTGTGCCATCGTTTATTTTTAACCCAAACAAAAGGCTGGAGGTGGCCGGCGAGGCTTGGGTGGCCCTCGGAAGCTGGGTTTGGAACGGGAGCGGATGCCATCGGAGCGCTGCCACCTCGCGCGTGGCGGCCCGGCCGTGAGCCAGCCACCAAGAAGGGCCCGAGGCCTCGGGGACTTGCCCTGTCCCTCGTGTCCCTGCAGCAGCAGGACGGGGGAAGCTCCCCGACCCGCGCTGCGGTGGCACCCACCGTCCCCAGGGCACCCCGTGCCCCACGCAGCCCCCGGCGTGGGGCCGTGCCCCTATTCTGTCAAGGGCCAGCGGGTTGCAGCCGCGGCGGGTTTTAATTAAATCAAGCTGCAGTGGCGCAGCGGCCGCGCGGGCCCATCTGTTCACCCAAGCTGTCAGCGCGCGCCCCGTATCTAGGTCGAGCCGGAGGGCGCAGCGCGGACGTGGGCGCTCGCCTCTGCCTGGGCTCCCTGCACCCCCTTGCCAGTCACCACCGTGAGCACAGAGAGGAGGAGGAGGAGGAAGGTCTGCAGGCCAGCCCAGGGCCGTGGTGGCTTTGCAGCAAACACAGTCCCTTTGGTTCTCCTGCTTTTGTGGTCAGCCCGGTGGCCAGGTTTGTGTCTCGGGGCTGGTTTTCATATCTGGGTGAGGATCCAAATCTGTGGTGCGAGGGTAGGGGATGGCAAGGGGGCTTTCTATCGCTCTTGAGTGTGAGTGAGGATGCACCGTTAGCCAGGCAGGGGTGACACGGGTTCCACCACAGACCGTGTCCTCTCATGCAGTGGCCTCGTGCTACCCAGGCACTTGTGCACCCTAGCTGGATGTCCCATTAGAGGGGCAGACCAGAGGCCCTCATGAGTTCCTAGGGATGGAAGGACCAGTTTCATCCCACTCTGTTCTCCAGGGTTGAGCTCTGGCACCTTCTGCCTTGTGTCAAGCAGCACGAGGGCCACCATGGGCCTGTGTGGCCCTAGCCCCCTGCCCTGGGGAGAAGCACCCCTTCCTCTGTTTAATCTCTCCCTATGCTAATACTGTAATGAGGCCAGGGCTCCAGCAAATGATAGTAATTGTGTTAATTAAGAGCTTGGGTCTGTGCTATTCCCTGTGAGTTTTATACCCTGTCCTAAATTGTACTGAGTTGGAATGCTCTGGGTTTGAACAACGGTGGCTTGGAAGGACCGGTCCCTTACTTACAGTAGTACCTGCTGCATCTGTATCGTGATCTAAATTAAATCAAGTCTATCCACGAGAAAAGAGATGCGAAGCGGAGGCTCTTCAGCCAACGAGGCAGGAGTGCAGCGGAGTCCAAGGACCAGCCATTAGCTCCAGGCGTGTGGAAAGCAGCAAAATTCAATAGCAAGCAGGAAGTATTACCATTAGTGATGGGAATTTACTGGGGCTGGGGAGGGAGTGTTCAACCTTGGGAGTGTTCCGAGCCAAAATGAGGGTTTTCACTGTCATAACCACACTTGGACGTGAGCGGGGAAGAATCTCATGTGTGTTCTCAGGCTGGGCTTACCTTGAGCAAAATGGTCTGGGCCTCAAAGCGATCTCAACCCCCTGCCCTCCTCTGATCCCTCTCTAAGGGGGAAATGGGGAAATCCAACTTGACCCAGGCTGCTCTCCCGATCCTTCCCACATCCTGAGATTAGCACCGACAGCATCACCCAGGGAATAAGCCCGGGAAAGCCGGACTTCTCTGTGGGATCTCTGGGTGCACAGGGCCCCATTCACCCCAGACTCAATGGGCCTGAGCCTCGTTCATTGCTTAAAGGTGAGTGATGGCCAGATGTCCTGGGCTGCCAGACACCTGCACAGCTGCTGTGTCCAGGAGTAGGTTGCCTTCATCTCCAGGGCTATATGGAGCTGGTCTTGGGCTCTCATCACACCTGAGCTCCTGCACCCATGCGGCCCACGCTTGAACTTGCACATACGTGCAGGGATCCCAAGATGTGCGTCTCTGGTGATGAATGTGTGGTGCTCCATCCTTCTGGACAAGAGCTGCTGCAGAGGGCAGCTCTGTCCAGGTGCCTCGGCCAGCTCTTTGTCTCACTTGTGGCCATTTCTGACCGCAGCAGGTTATGGAGCTGGCCCGATTTGAACTAAAAAAGGGTTTATGAAACTATCCAGCATATAAATATGCAAAGGAGTGTCCTTCTTTCCTTGCTCTTTCTGTGGAGTTGATGCAGGCAGTGTTGGGTTGGTGTTTATCCCAGCTGAATGGGGAGGATGTGCAACCTCTAGGCTGGGAGGATGTCCCTTTTCTCCCCGGTGCAGCTTGGATCTTGTCAGCCTTCCCAAAATAGCTGTCCTTGGGGCAGGCATGGGGTTATCTGATCCTCTTGGTGCTCTTCTGTGCCCTTGGGCTGCTCCTCACCAGCACGGAGCCCTTCAAGGAGCCTCGGGGAAATGTGACATCTTAGCGGAGGAAATGCAGTGCGGGAAGGGGAAGAGTTGTGCCCATCCCTGAAAGAGCAGGAGAAGATAAAAGTCCTGGATGCAATGAAAAAACGAGAAGCAGTGAAATGGAGAGTGAGTCGGTGGTCTGTGTGCCTCAGTCTGCAGATCCGAGCCTGTAGATCATAGTCATGTCTGGACTGTTGACCACACCACATGGAGCACCTTGTTGGACTGCTGACCCAACCTTATGGACTACTGGCCAAGGGCCAGGCAGTGGCTCGTAGACCTCCCGTCACACCCCGTAGCTGTGGTCACTGCTCCCAGACCTCATGCTGTGGTAGAGATGCCCTAAGCTGTACATGGTGGCCCAGATCAATGCAGTCTAGCCATGTACCTCGAGTGCAATCCAAGTGTGCTGGGATAGTCCATGGTCCATTAACTGATGGAGCAATCCCAACGTGTGTGAATGTTATTACCTTCCCTGAAAGGACGCTGTGCAGTTTAAACTGAAGAGTAGCAAAGGGGAGCAGGTAGATAGGGTGTTCACGAGCATCACTTGATGGCTACAGTCCCTTGGTGACCCCACCAGTGAGACTGCTGTCCCCTACCCTGCTTCCAGCTGCTTTTCTTGTCTGAGGAGCTCTTACTGTCTTCCCCACTGGACATTTCTGGTTGCAGCCCTGAGTCCCTGGAGCCACCATTGCCAGCAGGGACACAGGGACCTGCTTCCAGAAGCTGCTTATGACAGAAGCAAAGGTGGAGATGCCTGCAAGGATCTCCTGCCTCAGGACCTAGCACAGAGGGGAGAAATGGACCTGTGCAGGGTCAAGTGTGCGTGCACACGAACCCAGACTTGTGCCCATATGTGCCCTCTTCTGTGCCCCTTATGTTTGCCCAGCACAAGATTCCTCCTTGTCCAGAGGACTTTGGGGGTGCCACTGTCCCCATCTCATCCCTTCCGTTTGTTACTCAGCAATGCCCAGGGTGCCCATTAACCTCTCCATCTGTGCCCAGAGAGCCAACCCACGACGTCGGATGAGACGGTGGTGGCTGGCGGTACGGTGGTACTCAAGTGCCAGGTGGAAGATCCTGATGACTCCTCACTGCAGTGGTCCAACCCTGCCCAGCAGACCCTCTACTTTGGGGAGAAACGAGGTACGTGCAAGGGAGCTGGGGATGGAAGAGGGCTGTCTCGGGAGAGATGAACAAACCTTGAGACCAAAGGGTTGTAGGAACAGAGGGAAGGGCCACCAGGGTAGGTGGTGCCTCAGGAAGGTGATCTACCTTCCTACTGCTTGCTTATTAAGTTACTAGGTTGAAACTTGCCCCAGTGGAGGGCCCTGGTGGCACTGAGTCCCTGCCACTCACCCTGCTGTCTCTCTTCTTCCAGCCCTGCGAGATAACAGAATTCAGCTGGAGAAGTCCACACCAAATGAGCTGACCATCAGCATCAGCGATGTGGTGCTCTCCGATGAGGGAGAATACACCTGCTCCATCTTCACCATGCCCGTGCGGACTGCCAAGGCCCTCGTCACCGTGCTAGGTAAGCCCCAAGAAGCAGCTACTCCAACCCCTTCCCTGCTTTGTCCCTCGTGGGGTATCCTCCTCACGTACATCTCTGCCACATTTCCGCATCCTGACCTGTAACGTGTCACCATCTCCTACAGCTGAGCTAAAAGGCTGTTGTATGTCTTGCCTCCTGTACCAGGAGTCCCGCAGAAACCCCAAATCTTTGGCCACGAGCAGCCCATCGATGAAGAGAAGGTAGCCCGGCTGACCTGCCGCTCCTCTGGCAGCAAGCCTGCAGCCCAGCTCCGGTGGAGGAAGGGCAACAAGGAGCTGAAGGGTAGGTGCCCAAGCTGCTGGGGCTGTGCCCAGAGGACTGGGGCGGGCAGGAGCACCTGGGAGGCAAATGGGACACCAGGGGTTGCGGATGTGCCCAGCACTGGACCATGTGCCTCTTTGAACCACAGGACAGGGACAGAATGTCCCCTGCTTGACATGCATGTCAGCCCCATCGTTCTGCCAGGGCAGTGTGCCCTATATCCCCATCACCTCCAGCGGTTCCTCCTGTCCCCACAGATGAAGGCACTGAGGTGGCAGAAGACTCTAATGGGAAGACCTTCACTGTGAGCAGTCGGGTGGAGTTCCGTGTCACCAAAGAGGACAACGATGCTGAAGTGACCTGTACTGTGGACCACGAGTCCCTGCAGAACACAGAGAGGTCAACCACACAGAAGCTGCAGGTCCACTGTACGTGGGATGCAGGGATTGGTGGGGGACAGGAGCGTGGCGGGGACACATAGGGTGGGGGACATGGATGCAACACTGTCACATGGCATCTCTCCCTCCTTCACCCTCCATCCCAAAGGCTTGCTGAACTGCCTGCACCCATGGGTGCATTCACACTGCTGCCAGCAGCCTCCCGTGCTGGATGCAGAGACGCTCTGGGGGTGGGTTTGGGGATGCAGATGCACGGTGTGGGGCAGGCTGCCCTCCAGCTGTCTCTCTCCTCTCTATGCAGACAAGCCAACAGCAAAGATCGAGCCGCATCCCCAGTACCCGCGGGAAGGCGAGAAGCTCCGGCTGCAGTGCGACGGGCAGGGCAACCCCGTGTAAGGCCCTCCTGCTCCCTCCAGCCCCGCGTGCCTGGGCCCTGGCCGCCCCATCCTCCCTCTGCCAGGGAACCAAAGCAGCCCCTTAGGTCTGCCCAGAGCCCTGGCAGAGGGTGTGGGTGGGACAGGACAGTGTGGGGAGAGACCAAGGCAATGTGGGTCGGATGAGGGCATTGTGGGCTCAGGGCACTATGGGTTTGCATCATGTCAGGCAGAATTAGGCACCCTGTGGAAGGCAGGTGAAATGCCCATGTCCCCTCACTAGAGCAGGGTGAGTCCACCCTGGCTCATCTGGAAAGCAGGTGCCTTCCTCCTGCTTAAAGATTCCCGTGCCTTTTCTGTCCCCTTTGCTGCTCGGGCAGTGGCTCTGCTCTGCCCCAGCCATCAACCCGAGGGTCTGGGGAGGGAAAGGAGCCTCACCCCGCATCCCGCTCCGCAGCCCCCAGGAGTTCCTGTGGGAGAAGGAAGGCAGCGACACCCCGCTGCAGCTGAGCTCCGACAGCGTCCTCTTCTTCCCCTTCCTCAACAAGAGCGACAGCGGCACCTACGTCTGCACAGCCACCAGCTCCATGGGCAGCGTCGTGGCCAAGTACAACCTGGACGTCAGTGGTAAGCGGGGCCGGGGGGGCACCCTGCATCACACAGCTTGTGCCAGGAGCTGGCAGCTGGCACAGCACCTCCATCCCAACGGCTTCTCCCACGGAGGGACATGTGGATGTGGCCTCTCGCCCAGGAGGGCTGTGGCATGAGAGGGTGTGCAGTGCAGGGTGGGTGCTCGGGGCATGTGCGTGGCCGGGGTCCCAGCCCTGCTCATGGGCAGGGTGCTGAGCATCCCCAGGCGCTGTATCCCCAGCTGCTCCAGATGCGTCGGCTCTTGCTGTGTCCTCCCCTGCTGCTCACGTCTCCATCTGGAGCCAGCCTTCACCCACCCCTTTGGGTGCTCTGGTGTTCGGCCTTGGCCATGCATGTGCCACAGCATAAGGAGGGGACATTTGGTCCCACCAGGCTGCTGGTCAAGGCCAAGAGAGGCAGAGAGCAGCTGGAGGGAGAGTTGAGGCCGGGACACAGCGCAGCCCGGGCTGAGCTCGGTCCCTATCACCTACTGCCCGAGGGAGGGCTTGCCATGCGGGGGATTAACGGGCTGCAGGCAGGACTGCGCTGGAGCCTCTGGGACCTGAGCCGGTCACAGGCGAAGGAGCCTCTGTGTTATTATCTACGCCATGGCCCTCCACAGCATGCAGCTAGAGAGGATTCCTGATGGTCGCTCCGAACAGCCCCAGGATTCCTTGACAGCCACTTCCGAGCTTCCTGAGACAGGCCCAATGGCTCTACCTGAAGCGCCGGAGCTGCAGGCTTGTCTTGCTGCCCTGGACCCCCAAAAGAGCTCAGCACGCTTGACATCCATCCTTGCATGGGAAAGAGCAGCATCCACTGCCCCCCCCAGTATATAGTCCCCTCCTCACTGTCCCCTTGCCACCTACCTGCTCCTGGGTCTGCCCTGTTGCTATGTCTGTCTCTGTCCACTCCATCAGCCTTGGTCCACTCCAACAGTCCTGTGTGCTCCAGCTGTTCCCTTTTCCCTTTTGCTTCCCCTTCCCTCTGTCTTGTGCCAGGCTATTCAACATCCTTGACCTGCAAACACCGCTGTGAGTGAAGAGTGTGCATGGCAGCAGTCATTCCTCCAGCACATGGCCCCGCTTTCCTGTCTGCTTGCCCAGGATCAGCCCTTAAGTGTCCTGTCATTTCTTCCGCTCACACCCACTGTCTCCCCATGCTGCTCGTAGCCTCCTTGGGCTTCACCACCCCTTGTCACCCCTGGCTGCAGTAGTTTCCACTCAAGGAAGCCCTGGCTCAGGGCACTGGGTGAGCTGGAGCTCCTCCACAAGCTGGACTGAACTCTGGTCCATCTTGCACCCGCTGTGTGGTCTCCAGCGCAGACCCATCCCTGCTCTGCACCCAGCCCTGAGCACAGCAGCACCCAGCGTACTCAGCACCCAAAACACTGATGTTATCCACCCACTTGCTGTCACGGCACCTGACAAGAGGAGCTCCACATCTGGGGCTGCTTCCTGTTTTCCAATCCCCCCTCTTTTTCCCCCAGAGACACTCAGATCTCGGGTACCACCACAGGAGCATCTGCCCAGCCTGGCTGAGCCCCTTTGAGCCTGCCCGCCACAGCAGCTGTCATGGTCTGCAACGAGGGGGAGCAGGGACAGAGCGGTGCTAAGGACGTGCCTAGGAAAGTGTAGGTGGAACCTTGTGCCAGGTGACGCTTTCCAGGCTTGCCAGCCCTGGGATCACACACAGGAGGAGCTCGGGAGCTGTTCTTGGTGGAGGGGGCAACCGCGGTACCGCTCAGCAGCTCAAAGAGATAGCAGGGAGGACAGGAGTCCTTTTCTAGGTGGGTTTTATCAGAGGACAAGAGCAAAACTTGCACCTGGACAGGGCAGAATTCAACATGACTGAGAAGGGGTGGTGGAAGGAGCCTCTGAGAAAGGCGGGTGCCCAACAGACCGGGCCTTGTTGTCCTTGTCACCCAGGCAGGGTGTCCCCTGGGCTGCTCCTTATCTTGGAGGGCTTCGTGGTGCAGGAGCGGAGCCAGGCTGGGAGCTGTGGGGAGCCGGGGCCTCCTCCGATGGGCTCTGTCACACCCAGCTGGCTGCTCCGAGAGGTTGATTTGTGTCCCTCTGTTTTGTTGTCCTCCCCAGATCTTTCCCAGCTCCCCACCCCACACGTTCACTCCACTCCAGCCCCTCCGCCAGGCCCTTCCCAGCCCATCTTTCATGCTACCATGGCCACCGCTTCATCCTTCACTTCAGCTCCTGTCCAAGGTACCGTAAGCTCCTTTTCTCTCTCTTTATGGACCCACTGGTCCCTAGGCCATCAGGAGAAGATCGGCAGGAGGATGACTGCCCAACCCATGGTCCAGAGAGACCCTTTACCAAATCCCAGCTGCCAAACCAGGATCTGATCCAGTTTGGCTGCTGCTTGGCATGTCAGGACTCAGCAGCTACCTTCTCACCAGGGCCAGTGCTTCTGGATGGTGGTGTGCAGCATTTCCATGGCAGAAGAGATCTAGAGACCATGGGCTGCACAATGGTCCTTCCTACCCTTCTTTGCCTCCTGCTCCCATCCCATTAACGCAGATAATTGCCGGGAGATGTGAAGGTTAGGAAGGCCCTTCTGCATCCCTCTTGCACCATGAGAAGTGTCATCCTGGCCAGCAGGGAGCTGTTTTTCTCCTAGGGCACTCACCTACAGCCTGGGTCCCCCCATGGAGTCACATCACCGCCAACCTCTTGGCTGGAGCACTGTTGGTTGGCAGGTTGTTGTAGCAGTTGTCCCCACGTTGCAAACCATGTCCTGTGTCTGTGTGAAACGTCATCCCTCTTTCCTGCTGCCTTCTCTGTTCTTCATTTTTTTTTCCACACTGTCCTGTACAAACACCTTGTCTTCTAAAACAGTTCTCTGCCTTTTTCAACCCTGGAGCTGAGAGGACAAGAAGTGACTGGAAGGAGGATTTGGTCCCTGTAATAGATGCCAAACACCTCCAGCCAGTTCAACACGAGGTTGCTTTTCCCTGCAGTCCCAGCCTGTGACAAAGCTCTCCCAGCACAGGCAGAGCTTCCCAGCTTGGCTCTGAGCAGTTCATCTCCCCCTGGTCCAAGCACTGCTGTCCCTGCAGAGGGAGCATTGCCACGAGGTGCCAACCCACACATCCCAAGCATGAAGTGTCACCCACTCGGGGTCCTGCTGTGGACTCGACTGGTTGGGACTGTCTGTTGCAGGCTGGAGTCACTCCCATGTGACTGTCTGAATTCTACCTTGGAAAAGGGAAGAGGGCACGGCATGGTGGCAGGACTGCTCTCCTGGCACCTCCTGAGGTGCAGCACATTGCCATCCAGGTCACCCTCATACTGGCAGGATGCAGGGGAACAGCGAGCGAAGCCTGGCACAACCATGACTTCCTCAGGCAGAGCCATGTGCTCAAACTGTCCCCTTCTTGGGCAGAAATCTCCTCCACAAAAGACAGAGCAGGATCGGAGCTGGCTGGAGACCTCTGAGCAGGAATCCCTAAGGAGATGTGGGGACTGCAGGTCTGCAGGGTGCTTGGGGCAGAGGTGCCATGGGTTGCATACACAGTGGCAGAGCGCTTGGCTGGTGCTGGTCCCTGGGGGACATCCCAAGTAGCAGGGCATTGGGGGAGGCTGGGTTTGCTCACCATAGCTTTAGACGGGCTCCTCAGCTTGCTTCTTCTGATGCCTCCGTGGGCACCATCCCTTTTCTGTTCCCGTCTCAGCCTTTCTCCCTGCCCTCTGCCTCTACAACTGTCTTCTTCAGTGGGGTCAGGCTGATGGGTATCGTGCGTGATGCCAGAGCCAAGCAAGATTGGACTCTACCAAGATTCCCATCTGTGGTCCTTACCGATCCTTGGGATGAGCACCAACCTCTGACATGCAGCAGGGCCTATAAGCATCTCTCTCTCCCCCTCTTTTCTCTCCCGCTGCTGTATGGGCAGATGCCAGCCCAGTGCCATCGACCTCGGGCGCATACCACGCAGTCATCGGCGGAGTGGTGGCTGTCATCGTCTTTCTCCTGCTTAGCCTCCTCATCGTCTTGGGACACTACCTGATCAGACACAAAGGTAAGGCACGGGCAAGCCTCTCTGGGGTAGCACATCACCAAGACCCCCTTGCCTATCGGCCGCCTCCGTGGCACAGCAGGCAGACAGCGCAGGATGGTGCTGCTCCCATCCTGGATGGGTCTCACCAGGCCTCGGATCTGGACTCCTTCCCCAAAGTGAGTGGGCAGCATGGGGCAATTGTGAAGGGCTGCCCATCCTGCCTGCCATAGAGCTGTCCCGTATCTGGAGAAACCAAACGAAGCCAAAAGAACCCTCCGAGGTGCCGTCACAGAGATGTCCTGGTGAGAGCCTGGAGACAGGACAAGGCAACAGCGGGCGGAGACAGCATTCCCTCTTCCCCCTCTCCCTCTCCTACAACCCCAGGACTGCCCATCCCGTCAGTCCCTGTCTCTGCACCATGGGGTGTGCGTGTCCCATGTCCCCTTCTCTCACCACCCTCTCCGCCCATCCTCTGAGCCCTCTGCGCTCCTCCTGCTCCTACCCTACCCACCATTTCCACCTCCCCATCCCTGGACTTTTCATCCGCCCAGCAGGTGTATGCGTAAGACACGGGGAGACGGTCCCATCCAGACATCGGCAAAACCCAGCAGAGGTGATGTGTGAGTAAGAGCCCCCCGCCCTGCCCTCTGAACCCAGAAGAGCTGCCTGCATCTGCCGCCTGCCACGTGGGCACTAGGACGTGTCGCTCCTGGGGGAGCCGGGAGCTGGAGCCGCGTGCCAAGGGCTCCCATGTTCTCCTGTTTGGCAGGAGAACGTGGCTCTGGGCACCAGTTTGCTGCAGGCATCCCCAAACCTGGAATCTGCTCTTGGCAAACAGGCGTGTTGCAGAGAAACTCTTTGGTTTGCTGCTGGGGAGCAGGGACAGGGGTGCCGGGAGGGGCAGATGGCAGCAGCAGGGCCAAGCCAGATGGCAGGGAGGGCAGGAGGTGGTAACGCAACTGCCTGCAAAGCTGGGGCAAGTTCC